ATTTTGCTAGCTGGAGTTTAACCACAACACAATCACAGCCTTACAGCCCATAAGCAAATACAAATGAGGACAAAAGAGTTTATTTCCTTCCACAAGCAGTTTACTAATCATGCTTTTCCCCCCCTCAGATTAACTCCGTCTACAGTTTTAGTGGCTGTCTCAGCAATTTACAGCTCAATGGAAGATCAATTACTTCAGCTTCCCAGACATTTAGCGTAACGCCTTGCTTTGAAGGCCCATCAGAAGCAGGAACATACTTCTCATCAGAAGGAGGATACGTTGTCCTTGGTAATACACTATTAAACAAATGTATCCCATAATAAGACTGTTGTATTCACTGCGCTTCAGAATGGCATATTTCACTAAGGGGTGTGGTGATTTCTAAGGTTGTGAGCTGTAAGATTAGACACAGATCATTATTGTGGTAAGCAGCTGATTTGACAGGTCACAGTGTCACCATGATACTTAACAAGCTGTTACATAAATACATGTGTATGTATTTCAGGTAATTAGAATAAACTTCAGAACGAACAGATTATATTATGACAAAAATTATCACAGACATATAGAAGTCAATGTGGATAAGACCAAGTATACCAGCAAATGGTCATTCCTTAGTTTTGTAATTAATAAAACAATATGTAACTCAGAAATCTTAAGGAAAGGCTTTCTGCTTGTCTTGATAAAGCACAGTGTGACGGAACACATCTTTTCTGTCATTTAGGCCTGCTGTGTTCCAGGAAGTGTTTTACGAGGGGTTTTTGGTCATGTAGGCTTCAATCTGAGCAGGAAGGGAAACTGCACAACCCTGTTCATTGGCAACACCAAGAAGAATTAGACAGTGTTTCTAATTTGCTCCCTGGCCTGCCACCAGCTTGAAAAAGGGGGGTTCTTCTACTGAATCATCAAAGCTCAAGTGAACTCCCACTCCTTGTGTAAAGAATGTCTAGTAAAGAATGCACAGTAAGAAACTGCCAAAAAATATGGATAATTTACTTTCTGCTGTCCATTTTACTGCTAAGAAATGTTTTTAAACAAAATACATTTTTAAGACTAATGAGAAAAAGAAAGAAACCTTCATTAGTACTTCAGGCAACCATAATCAAATCAAAAGTTGACCTGGGTCACTGACAGCACCCCACGCCATCTCTTCACATATGTGTGCTGGCACAGTTCCAGTAGTTCTAAAGACAGAACAACTAAGTCCCACCCTGGGGCTCTGAACTTCCCTTTTGACTTTGAGTAGACATACAATTTTATCACTAACTTAGTACAAAAAGAATGTTATTTTTTTCCCTTCACAGATGAATCCTTCAGTTTAGGCCTGAAATTTGAAGTTGTTTTTGAAATACGTCCCCGAAGCAGCTCAGGAATCCTACTGCACGCTCACAGCATGAATGGAGAGTACCTGAACATGCACATGAGAAATGGACAGGTACAACAAATGTCACATTCCCTCCATTGCTTTGACTGGTTCCTCTCCTAACTACTTGGGCTGAGCTACACGCAGCTTTTGTCTTACAAATTTGACATTAATTCATTCTTATTTCTCTCTTAAATATATTAACTGCTTAGATTAGGCAACCCAGATATTTCTTTTAAAATAGAAAAACTAACACTTAAGATTAAATCAGATCACTTTACTGATACCAACTATAAATACTTAATGAGCAGTTGAAAAGCAGCAAGAGCATTGACTTTTTGGTGCTCTTCTTTCATCCACACATTAAAAATGTATCACAGTTACAAGTAAGGTAACTGCCGATGAATTTTCATTTCTTGTTTGTTAAGAGATGGGTGTGATGGGGAGAGTGAGGGACAGGGAAAATTCCGATTGTCCGTTGATCTGGTTCCTATAGCCTCTGGATTTTTGTAAGGCTGTCAGTTGAACAACAGAGGCTTGAAATGAGCTGACCAGACAGTTGTTGCAGTTATTTTTTAAATCATGTTCATTGCTAAAAGCTGGATGCCATCATGCCACACACTGCACACATACAGTAGTAAGTTGAAGTCTAAGTGGACAAAACATGCAAAGGTTTAGAGCAGGGGAGGTATTTTTTTTTCCTTTTTGCAAAAAAAGTAACCCAGGGCATAGCCAAAAGACAGAGCAGTGTGGATGTTCTTTAACCACTGCAATGCACTACCCAGTATCTGACTCTGAAGCAAAGTGGAAGAGTATTTAAGTAAGGCTTAGTGTACCTTGGTTAGAAATGCAACACCTGAGGAAACATGCTGTCACCTCTCTTAACAAGAACAGGAATGACAGCAGAGTGCCTGAGTGGACAGTTTAACATAGGGATTCATCCTAAAGCAAATCATAGAATTACCATAGAATGGTCTGGGTTGGAAGGGACCTTAAAGACCATCCAGTTCCAACCCCCCTGCCATGGGCAGGGACACCTTCCACTAGGTCAGGTTGCTCAAAACCTAATATAGGTGACCAAATGTTCTGTCATTCAGAGAATCTATTTTTCCATATTGACCATAGAGAGCACGAGGCACTTCAATTAGACATCTAACTTTTGACCACTGATTAGGTAAGAGAAAGCCCATTCTCACACCTGTAGCTACTCCTTGGTGAACTAACAAAGAACTTCCAAAAGCACATTGCATCACTGGGTGTCATGCCACACTTAAAGGTCGCATCTGTATACTGCTGGTCCAGCCTAGTTCTTGTTATGTAAAGTTCTGACGGAAGGTCTTCACGTCCAGAAACTTGTCTGGTTTTCCAACTGTATCAGTTGGTCTAACAAAAGATATTGACTCCCTTACTGCTTCTAACCTCGATTCCTGTATAACGCATATGCAGTTCATAAACAAAATTCACCCTGGAAAAGCAGCTCTCCCCTGCTTGCCACCGTAACAGGTACACCACTTACCTTCTTAGTAAGCATTTGTGGTTCTTACCATTCTCTCTTCAAATGCATTACCAAACGGCTTGTTTTGTGCAAATATTTTTGCTGGACAGATAAGAAAAACCAGCACCTTCAATTCATTTTTTAAATGTACATATCTCTCTATCAGTACAGCTTGTCTGTGTGATTTATTAAGGAGCAACTTTCTCTCATGATTCTGCTTTTGCTTTAATCACTCCTATATATTTTGTCCAAGGGTGGATGAAAGAGAACATGAGGATCATTTCAGTCTGTTTTCTGGTAACCTTGTAGAAAAAAAAGTTTTTAAATGTCCTAGTTACAACTATATTGAAACAGAGATCCTTTAAAATTCAACACAAGTGGTTTCCTTGCAACCTTTTCAGTCAACAAGGTGTCGGCATTAACAGGGACAACTTAGACATTTGAAAAGCCCGAGTGGCTGGACCCTGTTTGGAGTTCCCCAGCAATCAGCCCTGGGAATCTTGTGCCCCACAACAGGGACACGATGCTGCTCTGCTGCATCCGTAGCATTTCCATGCAGAAAGATGTTAATCCACTTACCTAAATCAGAGGTGCGAAATTCAGAATCAGGTTCACTTTCTAGCTAAGACTGTACAAGTACCTTAGAAGTCATTCTTCAGTTCCCTATCTATTCCTTTCTCACATCTTGTCTGTTTGCTTATACGTACGTTTTCATGACTGTTTTCCTTATTAAGTGCCTAGCAAGATGTCAAAATATCATTTGATGCCTCTAAATACTAACTTACCACACAGAAAATTATAGAGTAGCAGCACTAGAAAATTTGAGTAAAATCAGTTATTTTTTAATCTTTTTTTTGAACTCTTCTTTAAGTTCAAATCAGAAACGTTGCAAATCTGTTGAATCTAAAAAAAAAAACCACCCCACAACCACCAAACAACTCAATCTGTGAATTACAAAGGTGCTTTATTTCAAAGAATTCAATGAATTTTTTTTTCTTTCACTTACATACTAGACATGTTTTGAGTAGGGAATACAGCATTATTACAACAGAAGGAAAAAGGAGAACAGGAGGGAGGTTAATGTGGTGACTAAGTTATTTTACTTCAGGTTACCGTGAAACTGAATAATGGAATCAGAGATTTTTCAACTTCAGTGACACTGAAACAGAGTCTCTGCGATGGCAGGTGGCACCGAATTGCAGGTCAGTAAAACATGATCATCCCCCAGGTAAGGTGAGAGTCCACTTCCCCCTCCCCAGATATCCATTTCCACAGGCTAGCGCACTGGGAATGGGGTCATATTTTCAGTCCCTCCCTTTCACCTGTCAAGACACAAGTTCGTGTGCAAGAGACAGTCATATTCCTCCCTCAGATACAGGAACTGTGGAGCTTCCTGGGAGGACAAGCACAAGTTCCTACAAAGAACAAGCAAAGATGGAAGCTCCTTGTTCAAAGAACACAAGACAGCCTAGATCAAATGCTGGCAACCTTTCCTAAGTCATACACCAAATTATATTCTTCCTTTCCCAACTAGAGGTTAAGTAAGTTGGTAGAATGTAGTAGGCACAAGTATATGCTGCCCTTAAAGGTCAAATAAACGGGACAGATCTGGAGAGCCCCTGCTGCACACAGACAGCTGTCTACAGTCAGGATTTTGCCCCTGTGACAGCCAGCCATCCTTCTTTCCTGTGTTTGAAATGCAAAAAGCAATCCTAAACCTCAGGTACTTGGAACTTCCGACTTCCTGTCTAGGTGCTGACTTGGGATGCCTCTCAGTGTCACATCACATGTGCGCCCTTTCCCCATGCATTCTGGTTTCCTTTGAAGGAAACACAGGCATACAAGCAAGGAAAAAACCTCTCTGCATTTTAATACAGCCCCTATTGGAATGATTTGGCAAACAGTTTTACTAAGCCACATGCCATTGTATGCTCATGCCCTGCAGCCTAGACACAATCAAAAGCCCCACCCATAAGCACCCTTGTTCCCACACTGTATATCTTCCATCTGCCCTGCTCTGTGCTGGGATCTGCCCACGTACTGATGGTTCACACCCCATCTAGCAAACACTACATCAAACTACTCAGATCAAACCACTCAGCTCAAACCGGTAACTCCAGTCTGTCATAGAAAACTCAGGTGCTACTTCTTACAACCTTCTTCATCCCTGTTCCTTCTTCTTTCAGTTATTAGAGATGCTAATGTGGTGCAGCTGGACGTAGACTCTGAAGTTAACCATGTGGTAGGGCCACTAAATCCAAAGGCAATTGACCACAGGGAGCCAGTGTTTATTGGAGGTGTACCAGGTAAGTTTGGGGCAGCACTGTGGTATGTTCTTCTCATATTTCAACACCGTTTCCAGAGAAAGCACAGAAACTTAATTTTCTTTTCAAAAAAGAACAAAAGATATGTGAACAACCTGGTAAAATTCCAAGGCTCAAGAGCTGATCAGAAATATTCTGCCTTGAGTTGTCATATTAAAAAGGTGCTGCTTCATTGAAATTAAAACCATTGACCATTACTGGAGGGTCAGGTATGGAGTCTGTAGAGAAGTCAGCTAGCTAGAAAAAAAAAAAAATGATTTTTTCCCCCTTTACTTTCCAGTATGGGCTCACTGTTTTTTTTTTTTAAGAAGTGATTAATTTATTTATGGGATTGGAAACTCACTGTAACTGGAGGCTTAAGGTTTTGTTGCTGGTAGGCTTCCTTCCTTTTCTTCAAGCAATGTCATCTTGGAACACAAGACAAAACATGAAGATTCTTTTTCTGACTAATGATTTCCATCGCACAGATGTCTGCTAATGTGAATTTGTGACTCACAGACCATCTGTGTAGCGTGGGCCAAGATTACTACATTTACTTCCCTTATTCAACAGACAGAGCTACTCTGTTGGGGTTCATGTACAAACTGTAATCAACACTACGTGATTCAATTTTTAAGCCATCTCCTGTACATTTCTCATTGAAAACATGCAGCATTATTTCTCTGTGTCTTGCATATCAATCACGAACAGCTCTAACTACAAAATTTATTATATTGCTTATCTTGGATTAGTGGCTTGAGTGTGTGATGTTCTCATCCATCCCACACTACCAGGAGGAAAAATGAGCCTAAAGGGAATAATAAAATCTATGTGCAGATGCCTGTTCACTCTTTAAATCCAAACTGGAATTTTATTAGCACAGAACTCTTCCCAGAGAGGTAATATAAAGTGGTAATTGTGAATGCTGCTCTGCTTCATAATAGAGCCTTCTATTCCTACATTAATTATAGAAACCTAAAGCAATGCCATATTTTGGCTCTATAATGCTACTATCACCCTGACACAGAAAAATCTCAGAGTGAACTTCACGACAACAAACAAGATATAATACTAACTAATACCATGTAAATATAGTAAACCAAATGCAAACTAACAAATCAGACACAGATGACAATACATGCAATGTTAAAAGAAATTAATAACACTCACCCTGGCATTCACCTACTGATACTTAAAAGAAAATGCAGTTGTCAAAAAATGCAAGATTGTGCCTCTATTGACTATGTAGTATCAAGGTTTTTACACAAATGCAGATAACTAATGGCTTCTAGGACGCTGGCAGTAAGCCAGATGTTTTAAAAGACCCTCAGAAGATTCAGCAGAGCTCCACTTAGTAGCAAATTGAAAGGATTCTGCCACCAAACTGCTTATTTTGGTCATCATGACTTCTATTTTGCTTCTTCCAGAGTCTCTGCTAACATCCAGCCTGACTACACGCAACTCCTTTGTTGGCTGCATTCGTAACTTCATGATTGATGAAAAAACAGTGAGTTTTAGTAAAGCAGCTTTGGTCAGTGGTGCCGTAAGCATCAACACGTGCCCAGCAGCCTGATAGTGCACTGCATCATCAATCCTGTCAAGTTCCTTAGACCACAGAAAGAAAAATAGAACAAAAGAAACCATGTTCATCAAGAAGAGAAGAATGAAATAGGAAGGATGCATCTACAGAAAGCAGTATGTTTGAGGGTCACTTCTAATGTATGCAAACAAAAATCACCAAAGAAAAGAGGGCTGTTGCTTCTGCACTTCTCTTACTATACCACAAGAGTGAGCTTTACCATTTCTTATAGTGTATGTGTGGCCAGTCTGTTACATGAAAATGTGAGATTATAAGAGAAATGAAAGTTATATTAAATATGTTACTTTCAAGATAGATCCTCTACATCATTTCTTTCCATACCTTAGGTCACCCTTTGTTTCTCAAGAAACTGTTTGCTAATGCACATTAAAGAGTAAAACTAGATAATAGACTTAAATAGCAAGCAACCGTGTTCAAAGATTATTATTTTTTAAAAATTCAACTCATTTATATATTCCTTAATTAAAAAGGGGGGCAGAGAGTATACAAATTATGTACGCTTACAATCAATGAAAAACAAACATATTTTCTTCCCCTTCTAGACTTCACGGATATGTCCAAGCACAATGTAAAGATACAATGTGTATCTTTTAAGACAGACACTTTATATAAACTGATTGCTTACCTAAACTAGGTAATTTTAGAGCAATGACTTTCCTTATGTAGGATGGGATGTAGAGAACAGAGAAAATTCAAACTTGCAATTCTTTTCTCTATATTTTTAAATGCACTTACATACAAACACAGCACTAAATCCACAATCTGACTGTGATCTCGTTTGCACTAATATAACCCAAGTAAACACGAAGCATAGAAAGCAGATTCATATGCACAGTTTCAAGCAAACCCCTTATCACATAAAATCATCAGTTCCTTGCAAGACTGCTGCAGGACTTCAGTTTACAGCAGCAATCCTCAAATAGGAACACATTCCTGTGGAATGTATCCCAGAAGATATACTGCTGCAGAGGAACTGGGGGCAAAGGGCTGCAAATCTGAGCTATGTTAAAACCATAGAAGGCGGATGGAGAGTAATACTAGGCTATAGCTCATGGTACGCTTGAACATCAAACAGACACAGTGGTAACCTACAAGGCATCAAAGCCATTTAGATTTCTTTTCTTTAAAGAATAAAATGCTGTTGACAGAAGGTTTCATGATGGCTGGGCAAATTAGTGTTGGAACCAATTCAAAATATGACCAGCTGCAAAGCAGGAAAGGACAACACCCTCCAAACTAAAAATTAATAGGAGCTCATCTGGAAAACACGCAAGTGACAACTGGGATCCAAAGATCCTGAATCTACAGGCAGCTGGAAGAACCACCAGAGTAAGATAGACGTGTCAGCACTAATCAGCAGCTTCCCTACTACTCTCTCAGTAGGAAAAAGGGTTTGACGGATTGGTCTTGGCTCACTCTGGGTGAAGAAATGCAAACTGTGGACAGACCGGCACAGGGACTCTCTGGTAGCTGTGACCCCATCACTGCCTCTCCACTCCAGAGTCCAGTGTTGGGTGGTGAGTGGATGAGAGAAAATAGCGTGGCTCACCTCTCCTGACACCAGCCCTGTCAGGCTGACTGATTCCCTTCCCAACAGCACAGGGAGGCCACCTGCTTCTGGCAGTGGTATGTAGGCCCCTCTTTCATCACTCCATAGCCACTGGGCATACTTGAGAAGCAAGCAGTAGGAGTGGCCCTCTGCAGACTCTGAATCAAGCACATGGTGGGTCACTGAACCCAGCTGCCTTCAAATGCCGTCTTTGTCTCAGATACCAACGTCAGCATGCCTGCTCAACTCTTTCCTGCTCCCAGCTGCTACCCAGACTGAACAGAAAACATTCAGGGTTTCTGGTTTGGGAACTTTTTTATTAATGGGGTTGAGGGTGAATGTCCTCAGATCAGTGGGCTGGGTTCCCAGGGGGTACCACGGGCCATGCACGGTGTCGGGGCTGTGCAGCGGGGAGCAGGGGTAAAAAACCAAAGTCTCTCTCCTTCCAGTGGCAGCAAGCTGTTAGATTGGCTCAATCAATCTCATGGCACTACAACCTGAGCTAAGCTTCCTCAGGCCCTCATCCCCAGGACCCTGTTGCTGGAGAGAAAAGAACAGCAGATTCCCTGCTTAGATAGGTTCCTTACAAGGATTACTGAAATTCCTTTCAAGGTTGTCTGCAGCTGTTAAGCAGAGATAGCCAGGAATAGCATATGCTTGTGCTTCCTAAAAGCATCACAGTTTAGTGAATTCTCGTATTAAGTGGAGCACTGTATGTTAACTGGTACGCACATATTCAGAACATTTTCCATCTTACACCTGCTGCAAACTAAAGTCTATTTTCTCATATCCACATACAAGCTCTGTGAATAAATAATATTTTTCTTAGACATATTTGATGCAATGAGATTTGGTTTTGTTCAGTGGACTTGCACTTAAGAATGACTTCTCTGATTAATCAGTCCTTTGCATACTTTATATACGGAAAACTAAAAATTCAGTAAAATAGTACATGAATAAAAAAACACATTAAAATTCATAAACTGCTACCATTCAATTTACTTCTCTTTACCGTATCACCAGCTAATCAAGCACAGTGTTATTTGTAGAGGATATCTTCCTCAATTTGCCTTTCTAAGCCTCGGAGATGCAGATTTTCCCTCTGCAGAACAGGGTTTCCAAAGGAAAATACTATAAACCAGAGGATGCTTGCAGACTTGGGAGAGAGCAGCAAATAATGCAAATTTCCCTGCCCCCAACATCCACAGGGACCTTGAAATTACCATTCCATATGCACCAACAAAAGTCTGTATGTGATGCATTACACTGCACACACTTCCGCATTCATTTCTAAGCTCCTACTGTTTTAAGAGAAGGCAACTGCCTAAGCAGAAACCTTCCCAGAATTCAATTTGTCTTCCATATCTATCTTAATACTTACAGCTCCAAAGTACAAAACCCTTCACCTACAAAGATTTAGGAAAAAAATCCCAGTTCTAAGGCACATTGTCAGATTGTCCATTTGCATTTTCACTATAACTATCTCAAAAGATATAACTATCTCAATTCTGCAGAAAGCCTACCAAAAAATGAGCACTGATCCTAAGGAGATTATACCTTTTCCCTGACACCTTCAAGGTTTTAGTAAGTGCTGTTATAGCCATTACCTAAATCAGGGCAACAATTACACTGTTGTTATATCATGGAATATTCTGAAATTTGACATTTGCATGGCTATGTAAGAAAGAATTCAATTTTAAGTTGAAATACTCAACTGCTTCAAAAGAGAGTATTTAATTAGGAACTCTGGCCCCTCTATCTCTTATTTCTGAAGATCTGTAGAGGTCTCCCATAGTTAAATGTTCTTATTAACCTTTCCTTCCTCTCAAGTATCAAAAGTATGGAGTATAGCCTGAAAATGAAAATGAAAGGTGAAGGGTTACAGACCTGACAGTAATCCCTCAAAAGCCAGCCATTCTCAGTTTAAAAAAAAATAACCAAAAACACCAAACAAAAACCCCAAACCTTCATACATGAACTAAGCCCTGATTTAAATCAAAGAATAACTAGTTCAAATTCCAGTGTATTCTCCCTTAGGCAGCACGTGGCCTAAATAGTCAAATGACCGTCATTAAAAGATGCTGAAAGCATCGCACGTATATTGAAGTTGTGAGGTACATTTGGGTCTTGTTGTGGATGGGATTTAAGAGTTATTCGCAGACTCAGTGATCCAATGTCAACTCATTTCCTCACAATAACACAGTAAGTTATTCTTACAATTCAGTTACCCAATTCATGTTCCAAAGCTGTAGAATGCTATTACTGTACAGCATCAAAACCAACCAGTTACTGAGAAAATAAGGGTAAAAAACACACAGTAGCATAAGACTTGATTAGATGATTAACATAGTCAAAACGTCTCTGAGGGGACCTGACCAGATCCATGCATTTATACTACAGTAGATACAAAGTACAGCTTCAATTACAACAAAACGGAAAGTCCGTGTGTGATTTCTTTCATGCAGCTGAGCTACTTGTTTCATTAAACGTCTGAGCACATGCATCAAGCCAAACTGGTGATTATGCATCCACTTCCTGCACTCGGATCTCCTTTGGAAGCCGAAAAATATTCCCATATGAATATAAGCCTCAATTGACTCTAATTCACAGTGTTTCCACACACAGTGAGAATGATGACTTCGCATTTGCCAGCACAGACCTCTTCACAGCATATTGGAAGCCAAAGTACAGGGTTTCTTGCTGCAATCTCATGTTCAATGGAGTGAATCCCGTTAAGCTGAATCATGATGGAACATTGCAGACCTGAGAAGGACGGCAGCCCTGAGGAGGAGGACTTGG